TTATATACATTCATCGAACACACTTACGAAACACAAGAGCAACTCAATGAGATTATGCATAATGAAAAGCGTAATCCTCATCTTTTTGATCTTGCTCAAGGTCTTGTCTTTCGATGTCATCTTGTTTACTACAAACAAATCTCTTCAAATCATCTTCTTTCTGACAAAGATCTACTTATCTTTAACTTCCATCGTGCTTTATTTGATTATTCATCAATGAATATATTTCTTCACGACCTCAATCAAGCATATACTACAGGTCAATTATTATATGATGACAACACGAATCTACGTTATCTCGACTGTATATATAAAATTGTTTTTATTTTACTTCTACTATACATCATTCTCTTTCTTATGTAGATGCTGTTATTGAACAACAAACGTCAATGACTGGTGCAAGTATGTTTTGGCTTGATGTTCTTCATGATTGTAAACTTGATCAACCTTTGCAACTACCATTTGATCGATATCGCCTCTCAAATGAACATCGAACTGGTCATGCAACATCTATTTCTTTTGATTTTGGTCAAGATCTGTCATATGACTTTCTTACCCATGCGTCGTCAAACAACATATCACTTGAACATCTCACATTTGCTATTTATTTCATCTTTCTATTTAAATTAACTAGTGGACAAACAGATTTATGTCTGGCTATGAACATCAATAATAATCGATACAGAGATGAACTCAAATCAATCATTGGATTGTTTGAGAATATCGTTCCATTACGATGCCAACTAGATGCTCATTGGTACTTTTATCAATTACTCAAACATGTTCAAGAGATAATAACAAATAGTATGAAATATTCATATTTTCCACTTCAACGTATTCTCAATCAACATCCACATGTATCTAAACATGCATTTTTGGACACATCTTTGGAATTTATATCAAACAAGAATAATAATCCAGTGATTATTGGTGATTCTCAACTTGTTCCATCTAATTCTCCATTCAATATTAATGAAGATAACATACTAAGTGCATCCGACTTCTCTCTTTCTATTTATCATGATATGAACATGAATCAACTGTCATGCACAATCAATGCATCACTTGACTTATTCAATCGACAGACAGT